CCTAGGAGCCGCCGACCATTTGGGTTACCCCGTCGGCCACGGCGTCTTCGGCCGAGGCCGAAGCAAAGGCGACGTCAAACACTGGATCAAAGCGATGACATTCGTCGGTAATCAAATCCCAATTGTAGTACTCAAGGAACTCATGAAGCAGACGTTCTTCCAGCGAGTAGTTACAAGCCAACGCAAATGGGACGAGCCGAACGGAATATTCCGACGGGCCTTGTACGAGTTTCTCATTTTCCAGGCGCCGTCGCCCAAATCAGGACGACGAATAACAATTGACTTGCTACATAACCTCCAGGGCCTGGTTCTCGGGTCGGGCCCCAAACCCGACCAGACCGACGAAGATATTGACCTGGAATCCGATATTACTACAACTGTCGTGGTGAATATCGATGACGACGGGGGGCAAGGGTTTCTGAGCGCCACCCATATGGAACGTGTTGGCATCCGGCTGAAGAAACAAACACGCGGTGGGACCAAAGGCATCAAATTCACCACAAACATTTTCGGGGCATCGCTTTACCTCCCCGGTTTCGCGGTGGACGACGACACGGACCTGGTGTTCCGGAGCCTGATAGAGTACGAGAAACGACACGTGTCGTCGTCGTCGTCATCGAACAGGCCGCTTGAGGTGATGTCTTACCTGCGGCTGATGAAAGACCTGGTTCGATCCCCGGAGGACATACGGCTGCTCGAGAAACGAGGGATCGTTACGACGTGCGACCTCAGGCATAAGGAGAAGCTGCTGAGAATACTGGGGTGGAAGCTCCACGGTAACTGCATCACACCGGAACTCGACACCGTCAGGCTGCTTACGAGGCATTACTCCAGCCCGGCGGTGTGGGGGAATCTCAAGAACTTTCTCGGCATCGTTATCAGCTTCTTCGTCAGCTTCGCGCTCATGTTCGGGCTCACTTCCTTACAAACTTTCTACGCTGCTTACGAACATTATCACAAAAACAGTACCGATCATCATTGATTAATCTGTACGTCCATGTAGGGTTATTAACAATTTTTTTGATTTTTTGATTTTTTTTTTGGTTCGACCTTAATTTTGTTGTTGTTAATTAAATTAACAATTAATGATTACAAATAAATAAAAACGGCTAGTTATTCGAGCATTAGCGTAGCCAGAGTTTGAAGTCCGGGGGTGAATGCATTAACAAAAGTTTTGAGGGGATCGTTAATGTTATTATACACAAAAAGAAATTATATTTATATATATATTAATAAAGATTTGAGAACTGTTGTGGGGGTATGGCCCCCAGTCCTATGCTGGCTCCTTCACTGTGCGCGAGGCCATCAGGAACCTCCTCATCGAAACACATTCTCTCGAAGTGTTATGGTACCGTTGCTCTCGAGGAAACTGTCGATGTCGTCGCCTGCGGTGGCAGCTATTGGTCCGGTGGGTTCCACGTTTTGGATATTGGAAAGGACTAGATGTGATGATGTGGAATATGTAATTGGGTGCAAGAATTATGGTTATCCATTAAGTTTGTGTAGTTGCATTCACATTTTAGTAGTGAAATCACATTTATATTTTCTACTCTTCTCAATTCAACCCTTCAAATAAATCATAAATTTAAATTTGGGTAAGTTACACCTACACTTTTAAAGTATACTAAAATAATTTTAAGGTCTTCGTACTGTCGGCAATTACAATTACCCCTGAAACATTGTTAGAATCCCTAACGTAATAATGCATTGGATATAAGTTATTTCATTATGGGTGTAACAGACTATTAGTTTTATACAGTGTTGGAGACAACATAGAGTAAGAGGTGATATGATTCTCCTAACATTTTTTAAATCTTTATTATTTTATATAGGGTTAATTACAATCATCCCCTAAGGTATGGTCAATTTACGAAAAAAACTTCTTTTGTTTGGACAATTACATCTATCTAGGGGTGGCATTGGTAGGGATACCGAAGTTTTTGACAATTACCGTGTACCAGCCGTTAAGTTATGGTAATGAAAAGTTTCGTACCATTACCGTACCGAAACATTCGGTATACCGTAGTTTGGTATACCGTTACTTTTGGTACGATACCATGGTACATGGTATTCTACCATTATCACGTATTAAGCTACAATTTGATATAAAAAAAAAATATGGTATTCTACCATTATCACGTATTAAGCTACAAATTTATATTATTTTAACGTCTTCATACATTTATCGAGCCAAACATTACAATTAATTTTACAAATTTATATTATTTTAACGTCTTCATACATTTATCGAGCCAAACATTACAATTAATTTTACGACGTGACATAGTGCAAATTTATTCATATATATTTGGTTATTGTTATATATATATATATATATATATATATATATATATATATATATAGATTAGAAGAAAAAAAAGAAAAATAATACATTTAGTTTGAGAAAAATCAGAAAACTTACATGTAATAAAATAAAGTATTAGAAATATTTTTTTAAATAAAGTTATAAATATTATGGAATAGAAAATAAAGGAAAAAAATAAAAATGGAAAATAGAAAATATACTATAATAGTAGGTATGGTACGGTACGGTATTACCATGGTATTGAGAATGCAATACCATTACCGTACCAACCATTTGCGGTACGGTACTAATACCGTACTGAATCAAATGGTAACCGCTACTTCGGTATTTTATCGGTAATCTTCGGTTGGCATACCGTGGTACTTGGCAATTGGTAATTTTTTTCCACCCCTACATCTATCCATCAACTATGATTTTTTCTTACACCTCCACCCTTATAGTGTTAAATTCAACATAATCATCTAGATTTCGTGGAATGTATTCTGTCTGTACTCGTTTTGAGTAAAAAACACATATTATGATCATCTTGCTTCAAAATGTGGAGTTCGAATGAGATAAAACGGGTACAAATTAAAAGTGATAATATTCCATATAATCTCGAAGATTCCACTAAATTTGAAACCGCAGGGGTGGACGTGTAAGAAGATTTGTAGTTGAGGGGGGTGGTTGTAATTACTCAAACAAGAGGGGGGTTTTCATAATTTGACCATACCTCATGGGTGGTTGTAATTTACCCTTTTATATAAGATTTATAAATTGTCGTCTATATATCATAGCATTAACGGCCCCCGCGAGAAACAAATATAATGCATATCACTCCCTAGGACATGAACTCTTTGCTCCAGTAATTGTTTCAGGGGTGACGATGTAGTTACCTAGGGGTGGCATTGGTAGGGATACCGAAGTTTTTGACAATTACCGTGTACCAACCGTTAAGTTATGGTAATGAAAAGTTT